AGAAGAAAAAAATTAAATTCAGTTTCTTCCTTCCTTGTTAAGGTACAAATAGTTTCACGACAAGCATTCTTATATATAATACTTATATATCATATTCATGTGTAGGCACTGTATCGCCATCTAGTGACTATTACTTGGTGCTAATTAAGTATTTTATGCGTTAGACGAGGCTTTACCAGGGTATCAACTTGCCTAATTGAATCGAAGATTCAGCATACATTTATAGAACGTTCATTTTAAGTTTCTCAGAAAATTATCAGAACCACCAGATTCCGATTTAGTCTCATTATGAAGCACTGACGAGATCAAATGAGATCGAAATATAGAAACATGGACTTACTGAGGAAAGAGCCAAATCATGGCAAAACAATTCTCTCATATAAATACATTTGTGAAGATTTCTAATTGTATATCTATTATTTGATACATTTATTAAAAACAGTACACAGGAAAAATGAGGAAGATAGCAATCACCAATCAACTTAACTGTAAGTGGAATTTTTGTGGCTACGATATAGATCTTTTAATTCCAGTATCAAAATTAGTATATATCTTCAATCTACTTAAATCTTAAAAAATTGCAGATAAACTTATCGACTACTAATGTCGTAATTTAACTGTAATTTTTGTATACAGTTTATAAATAAAGCGCAACTTAACTATTATTTTTTTACTGGAAAAAGCAACAGAATGTGGTCATAGTAGAAGAATGGTTTTCCTATAATTTTTTCTATACAATTTTAATTATTTATTATAAGTAAATTTAATCGAATAATCTCAACTCTTACCGACCTAGACTTCATTTGTTCGACTGAATTATTATTACTTAATGATAACTCTGCAATAACTAATTTGAGTCACCATAAGAAAAAAACTTAATTTACGATACGATTTTATTGTTTGTTAAAAGGTGAAGAAGTTGAAGTGAAACGGCTTTCAGTCCGGGGACTGCTTCCGGAAACAGACTACTACATGACATATGACGGTTCAACGACCATGCCCGCCTGCTATGAGACGGCAACGTGGCTCATCCTGAACAAGCCTATCTATATCACGAAGCAACAGGTTGGTGGAATTGATTCAGCTAAAAGAACATTTCAAGAAACATTATTTTGTGCTTTCGGAAGTAGGCGAATAATTGCAAAAAGACTGGAAAAGCTTAAATTAGAATACTAGTTTAGGTAAAATACCACAAATGGCGCGGTAAACGCCATCTGTAGTAGATGGATGGATGGATATCTACTTGCTGAACTGAATCCACTACGTGATAGGCACGTTACCAACATCGAACAAACAAATTCGAAGCGGTCAGTATTCTGTCGAAACTGCCACACGCGGGTCGCGATTTCGATCGATTTGGATCTCATCAGCTCGTCGCAGGCAGCTCCGACAGAACACAGACCAATTCTTACCTGCTGTTTTAACAGCGCGTTTTATAAAATACCACAAGTTTAGGTATATAAATTATTTCAAGAAAGCCCAAGAAACGTAACGTTAGGTTTAAAATAGAGTAGACTAAGGAGTAACATACAGTGAAAACGACGTTAGAGTTAATGTTGTATTGTCTTATCTGTTATTGCTTGTTAGGGTCCCGTAGGAATTCCAGTTGTAATTTCCAACCTCTGACTAATTTAGTTGTTCCGTGTTGTTAGGGCGCTTCATTTGTGGCGGTTTCATCCCTCTATTTCGGGGTCTGTTGTTTGGTAGATTGTTTTCGGTTAGCGTAACATCTCCTAACTACGTGGCGGAATAAGTAACGACTTAATTAAGGGCAAATGTGAGAAGAAAACGAACTAGAAAGCCGTTTGTTAATATCCTGTGGCCCGGCGCCACGTTTCTCTTGTCGTACTTACGTTACACCTCACTGGCAGACCATCGTTTCCGGGAAGCTCATTCTCAAATTCCAGAAACTTTCTGATGTACGATTTCGAGCAACAGAATGCATTCTAAGATATTAAACTTGGAAAACATGCATTTTAGAAACACGATAGTTTAATTGAAAGAATGACGATGTTAATACCTTTAGAAGTGAAAGTCAAATAAAAGTCGAAATTGCATACTAATTAGTATTCCGTTTTTGTGGATTTTAGGAATTATCCAACCGAGTTAGTAATAGTGACATTCGTTACATTAAATATGGGCTATTATTGTTTAGAAAGGGAAGGATAGGGGGAAGACCGTAGTTAGAGTCAAAATTGTGTATGGGGAGTTTTGGAGCGGATTAAGAAATTTGAATAATAAAGAAAGACAAAACATAGGCTACAGCGCAGGCTACAGATTTTCTAAAAAAAATAACTCTCTAGTTTACTTGCAAATGATCAATTCAGAAATTCGGAAAAAAATGGAAATGGTCTCTTGGAAACATTGACGGTGGGAATGAGAGGGTTAGGAGCACTTCAAATTTGGTGTAACATGTGAATGATGAAGATACCGTGGATAGAGAAGGTTAGAAATGAGAAAGTATTAAAAAGGGTAGGAGAACAGAGGACGCTTTGGAAGTCAATAACAAATAGGTGAAATAGGTTGGTAGGACACCTTCTCATCAATAAAGGGAAACAGGAGTTAAGAAGAGTAGAGGTAGATTTAGATTAGATTACTGTTCACAAATATTTAAGGATTTGGGATGCTCTAGTTTTAGGGAAACATGAAAATTATTTCAGAATAGGAAAGAGTTGAGATGCGTGTCCAACCAATCTCATGACAAACGCTCCTATGATGATGAAAAGATAAGAAGGATGTTGCAAAAGTGTCAGTAGGGTTGATAACAAATACACCAAGACATATATATTTAAAGCAATGCTTTAGTTGAAAGTAATTTTAAACAAGAAGTCGGCAAAGTCGGGACTGAACATATAAGAGTTGCAGAAGCGACAGAAGTTTAACGAATAATATGAGAGAGCAGAGGATGAGAAAAATTGAAATAGGGTTGAATAGTTGGTGGAGTAGAAAGGTATATAAACAGTAACAGTTCAAGAAAGCTCTGCATAAAATTGTTCATTTAGGGTTTAATATGGTAAATAAGATAGGTAAGGGAGCTTTTAATAAGAAGTACAAGGTATGGATTTACAGATTACGCAAATCAAAGAACGAGATGCTGGGCAGTTGTGCTGAAAAAAGCAAACTTAATGCAAAATAATATCATAAAAATTAAGTGACAATCTGTGAGTGCTTTAAAGTTATAGAAGAAGTTTGAAGAAAGAAACAGGTCTGGATAGAATTTGAGAGTTTGATGTACTTAAAAAAGAAATAAATTAAAGGTAGGGATTGTATTTCATAGAGGACTACGAAAGGGATTTTTCAGTTTTCATTTCTAGTTTTAAAGATGATTTTAATAATATATTCGTTTAGTGATGTAAAACAGAATAAAACGCTGGAACAATTTTCTGGCTTTTGAAACAGGATGACATTAAATATCGACATATTCCTCTAATGCCACTTGGATAGACTTCTCAATAGTACGTTATGGTTCGTAACTTTTTCAAGACGGAACTAAAATGTCGTTTCCCCAAGAGATTCTGTATATTTCCCGAACTCGTTTTAAAGGATAAGAACGAACATCGTGTTCTCGTGTATTGTAGGAATTTTAAATTCAACAAAGAGTTCCGTGGTTTCCATTAAATCAGTTTGGAAAGAATTTTAACTAGCGAAAACTATGGACCTTTTGTACTTATGTATTTAAATTTTAAGCACTGCTAATCTACTTTTATACTTTTCATAGGTATCCTTTACTATAAATAAGCTGTTTTCTTCTATGTATATTTTAGGAATAGTAACATAAAATATAGTTAAAAAGTGATAAAAGCTTAGTTAAAAAAAATTAAATCTGCTGTATTTATTGGTTATGCCACAATAAAAACAAGAATGGTTAACAAGGAAATTCTAAAAAGATTTAATGCTAAACGGCTCTGTAGGGGTGCAAAATGTCGGTGGAAAGTGATAAAAATACTGTGAATAGAAAATGCGCTAAAATTCACACCACTCAGAGATATACATAAACATGACCCAACTGCTCCGGCAATGGTGATCATGGCTCGTATTTGCGTGATGCCGTCAATGCATTCCTATTGCACTGTCCGTATGTGACCACCATGTCCGCATATTCTCGCACTCAACTTATTTTGTATTTTGTGTTAATAGCAGTAACATTACTTAACGAGTGCAGACTGCTAGTAATCAATACGTGCAATTGCCCTGTGTACGTACCAGTTGTTGCGAAGGTCACGAATAGGTACATGTGTTTCGTCAGTTGACGATTGAGGTAACAAAAATCGATAAAATAACGCGGCTTCCAAACTGGCAATTTTTCTAAATCCTTGACGGCTCATTGTGTGAGTACTTTTTGTGCATAGTCTTTACATCCCCTACGTTGTGGTGCTATCACGAGATGCACTGTACGGTGCCTCCAGATGATAGATTTGAAGACAGTGTATAATATAACACATTTGTATTAAGCTTATAATATAGCCCTTCCCGAATGTGTGAATAATTTCAGATGTTGTTCAGGAAAAAAAAACATTAGACAATAGTTTATGTCCCCGGGGTAACAAAGTTTAGTTTGTTAAAAGGCATGATCGTAGAGAAAGGATGAGACGGATTAATTCAAATGTCTATGTATCTGTTATACGAACGTATTTTCCAGATGCATGCGCTGAGAAGGTTAATGCAAGGCGATGCGAAGCATCCGAAAGCCCCCCTGGGAAACAACTTCCGACCGCCGCAGCCCCTTCACCATCGGCCTGTCAGAACCAACATAGACTTTAACGTCAAACATCCAGGAGTGGTAAGTTATTTCTATTTTTATTATATCCTTTTGAGGATATTACATACCTACAATCCTGCCTTTTTACTATCCATCGTAACAGGAACACGCCACTACAGTATGAACAATTACTTCTCTCACACATACCCACTTGAAAATTTCTGCTATCGCACATAAAAAAGTTATGTATGAACTACAAAGTAGATAAGGACCTACGTGCTTACGATAAATATTGTAGATTTTATCGCCAGACAAAAATTTACAATCACTCTTGCGAGCTCAAATATACCTACCTACTAATGCTAATTTATTTCTAACTGTTAACTTTGTTATTTTTAATTATTAATAGTGGTTAATATGAAATATTAATGTGAAAATGAATTTTCAATTTTCCATCCACTACACACTATCTCAGGATAGTGAGGGAAAATCTTTTGTTCCTGACAACAGTTTGTTGTGACAACAACAATAAAAAGAAATTTCCCTCACTAACCTGAGGGTAGTTTGTAGTGGACGGAAAATTGAAAATAAATTTTCGCATTAATTTGGATATTAGATATGTCGTTTTGCGTAACTTTAACAGGATCAGAGATAGATCTGGGTTGGGAAAAAAATGTAACACAAGAAAACCCTTAAAATTTAAAATCGCCTATTTGTTTCAGCTTATTCTATTTTTAATTGAATTCTATAAACGCATTTTTTGAGTATAAATTAGTCACTTACAAAAGAGTTGAAG